TCAGGTCGTGCTGGACGTGCATGATCAGCTGGCGGTTCAGTTGGTGCTACGCCAATGGGTGGGTTTGTCTCCGCTGCCTGGTGTGTGATCAAGCCCGGGAAAACCGAATGAGTAGAGGCAACATAGCATATGGATGCGGCGCTGGAGTTCATAGCCGTTGCATTGTCTTTGCCCTTGGCGATTCCCGATAGATTGCACAAGCGTTGAATTTGGTCATTTCCTCCAGATAGGGCTCGTATGCATTTAGGTGAGCGACAAATGGCCAATAGGCCAGATGGGTTTTGTCCTTTCCCTATGCGGTAGAGCTGAGATGTACATATCTTGACAGCATAGCCCGGCAGGGTGTCAATGTCAGCAATCTCAGAGGACATGCCGAAGAACCCGTAGCATGGGTATTGAGTCGGGTAGCCGGCTTCGTTTTTTGTCCAAGTTGCCGGGCGAATGCAGTCTTCCGCGAGGATTTTGGCAACTGTTTCCCAACTCGTTTTGTGGTAAATCAGGTAGGTGCCCATGTGTTCGCCACGATAGATCGGTTTCTTGGGCAATCCCGTTGGGACCGTGATGGTCAGCAGGTTCTCTGGCTCGATGTAAAACGCTTTGGTTTGCCTCGCAAGCTCGATGTCCAGTAAGTTGGATTGTGCAAAGGCCCTGGCAATGTTCTTGACGGTGGCTTGGCTTGCTTTGATATAAATAAGTTGGTTGTTGACGGTGCGATATGGTTGAGCCAACTGGTGGAACATCTCGTCAACGAACTGGTTGAAGAGCTGCAGGGTGGACTGGGTCAATGATTGGCGTAGGGGCACTGTATGGTTGGGGTCAAGCTCAGTCAAGCATCGGACCCTGAGTGGATCATTGGCAGCCTCAACCATTTCACTGAGGTCGATGTCATTCGTGTCAAATTTTGAGATCGAAATTGCATCTGTCACCTCAGAGTTTTCGCCGTCGCCGTCAGGGACGCGGAAGGACACGGCTCCAAGTGGTGCTGTGGTGTGGGATGGTGGGTTGGTAGGTGGTTCAGATGGTGGTGGACCGGCGGGAGAGTTGGGTCGAGTAGTGCTGTGATGGTAGTCGTCGGTGTAGTGGCTATTGTTCCATTCGCCCCAGGTGTCATCAGCGTCAGGAGTGGGGATGTAGGCCGGATTGGATGGGCGTGCAGCTGGTCGGAGTACGACTTCGCGGCCTCTGGATCGACGACGAGGCGTCTCGGAACGTGGTCTTGGGTGAGATCGATGACGTCGAGGAACCACGGGAGAGCGGCGTCTTGGCGGTGATCTTCGTCTGTATGGAGAAGGAGTTCTGCGATCCTTGTCGTGTTTCGTAGATGACCGAAAACGAGGAAGGGGAGAACGAGGTCGTACAGCACGTCGGGGAGAATGTCGATGACGATGTGATTGTGCAGAGGGTCGACGGGAGCGTGATCTCGGAGTCCTGGATCGCGGTCTGTGCGTTGGCGATGGTGGAGCATGTAGGTGGTGAGGAGGGGCGGTGGCTGGAGCTGAAATGATGCGGGGGTCCGGAACGTCAGGTTCGGTGGGTCTGGCTTCAGGTGCAGGTGGAGGCATGGCTGTAGGTGGTGGTGCAGCTGTAGGTAATGGTGTAGGCGGTATGGGGTTCGGTGTAGGTACATCGTGGTGGAGGAGTAGCTGACGTTGTTCTTGGGCGCGTTGAGAATCCAGAATCAGTTGTTGTTGAGCTTGAATGAGACGGACCGATTCCGCAAGTTGCTGTGTAGTGGAGCCCAGCGCTGCAAGTTCAGGTGAAACGGATGGAGACGGTGCTGCCGTAGGTGCCGGTGGTGTAGCATGGGAAGAGGCTTTCGGAGCTGACCGACGTGGTTTGTCCGTTTTCTTGTCGGAGCGAAGCTTTGGGGCAGCCTTAACTGCTGGTGGTGGAGGTTCATCTGGAGAGACCATCGATGCTTCAGTCGATAGTGGAGGTTGAAGGTGGTGAGGTGGATATGGAGAGCTCTGCAAAGGTGTCGGTGGTGTAGTCGATGTAGGTGATGAAGCCGGAGCCGAATGCCATGTGGGTGGAGCGGTGGGTGCCGTAGGAGTAGTGAAAGTCGGTGGAGCGGTGTGCATCAAAGTGGTTTCAGGAGCCACAGGTGTGGGCATTGTAGGCACGAGTTGTGGGCCTGGTACCGCATGAGGAGTCGAAGTCAATGGGGTAAATGGCAGCGATGTTGGGGCTGATGCAGACGGCACGAGCGAAGATGATGAAGACCATGTAGGATGCAATGGCGAGGGATGTCCAAATAAATGTGCGTTCTGCGATGGTTGCGACCACGTCGAGGACGGATTCGTAGGCTGCGGTGGGGCAGGCCATGACGTCGGAGAAGTAGTCCACGGGTACATCGCTCGAGTAGAACAAAACAGAAGTGGAAAATCACATACAGGATTCAGTCCCTAAATGCCTAAAGGTCGTGCGATTATTCCCTGCACCGGGACCGTGGTCAAGTCGTGCCCCAATGGCATAAAACAGCTATCAAATTCCAGCGAATTAGGTGCACAACATGTTTCACCTCACCAGACAACCATCAAAAGGAAAAGGACCACACCTGAAAGACATGAGCCTGCCTGATCCAATTTCATGTAGTGTTGCCAGATGTCGCTGTGAAAATGCTGCAAAATAAGAGGTTTCTGAATGTTCGGTACGGCTTCTCGCTGCAAAGAATGCAATTCACAAAGGATCGCAAGGGACAGCCGGAACGGCAGGACATCTCAAAAAAGTTGCAGAACAGAAAGGCCAACTGTTGCGATTTACTTAGATGAATTACTAAGTTAAAATGTGTAAATTCGGCAGTCAGGACAGTCATCACTCACCCTAAAGAGGGTTGCCTCAAATGGCTCCATGGCACCATGTCGGAGCCACCATGGAAATCACACTAGACAAGAATGGATCATTATATGATCCGGCAGGAACTGAATCCTGAAACATGCAGATTAGAAATGAAACAACGAAAATAACGATGCACCCTACGAATACTAGAAGTTCTCCTGAATGGTTTCCATGGCCAAGACCGTCATCAAAATAAATAAATGAATCGGCGACGTGGTTTTGATAAAATAACCCAAATACATCGGCGACATGTTCGGCGAAATAATTCAAAAAATCAAAATACTGTCGGCGACATGGTTTCGGCGAAAAACTGAGGAAGGTTCTGATGCAGGCAATACAGATTGTGGCAACCGTGTAGATTCGAAACAACGCAGTGTAACAGCTTGTTCAACAGTTCAAAAAATCGCAGGTACGTTTTCACCCCCATGCTGTCTGGTCTTCGTTGCCCAGGACAGACAGTCATGGGTTCCTGGCCCCCTGCAAATGTGAAAAGATTAGAACAATAGAAGTTTTACATCTGTTCAGATGTTACACACACACACGAAGAGATTCAACTCAGCACTTGTTCAACATGGTGGACTTTACTTCATGACGATGGGGCTTGTCAACATTCCAGTCAACATGCGGCTGGAAGTACATCAAACGACCCAAGGCACAACAGCAAAGATCACACCAGTCACATTGACACCAAGAGGTGTGGAAGTCTTGAGGAACAGAAAAGACCTCTGGACATTCAACATTCAAGGATACCTGGCGAGAGGGCGCAGAACACAACGCAAAGCACTCTTCATGCCAGACCAACGGTGTCCAGTTCCAACAGAAAGGTTGGAGAACTTTAGAAGAACTTGTAAGAAGAAACAATGGCTACAATGCGAACAGTGAGGATGCGTACCAAACACTTGACACCAAGCAACACAAGAGAATCCTTGAAGGAGAATCTTGGACAGGAGAGACCTGGTTCAGGGTCAAAAGAGGAACGCCTCTCCCTGGCAACACGCCACCAATGCCGGCATTGCCAGCAACAAGGACGACAGCTCCAACAGCAGCCAAACCAGCAACAGCACAAGCAGCCAAACATCCAACAGGAAGGATGAGACACGCAACAAAGCAGCCACCGTTTGATCCAACAAGACCTATAAGACCAACTGGATCAACATCATCAGCACATACAAGGTCAGTACCACCAACAGCTGACCATTGGATCAAAGAAGGACACTTGTGGAAGAGGGTACATGTCAAACCACGACATGATCTCTACATTCCACAACAGACCTCGGACAACACCCTGGTGCCAACAGGTACTAAACCAACGGAGTAGGAGAGCGCAACAGGGAAATCAACACCTGAGAGTTTCGATGAACAGGCGTGCACTGAGTCTGAACAGAAGACGCCTTTTATCAACACTTTTTAGATTGTAAAGATGTACAGGTTGACTCCCAACAAATGCCAGCATAATACTGTTCAGTTCAACATGTTGGTGGCGTGAAGAAAAAAACAGAGTGATGCAACATGGCATCAATCTGAGGGGCCATGTTAAGACAACACATCCCGACATGGCCGTTGTGCAGTTGTGAATCTCGTGCCAACATTTGGCCCAACATTAGGCTAACAGTACAGGAAAAGTTGCGCACAGCAACAGCAGTGACAACAGTGCCGTGAAACTTTTCATGGTAGCCGAGCAGTGATCCTGGAAGCATCCAGGTGAGCTCCAACACAACAGGCAACAACAAGGAGCACTTGGGTATGTATATATATATAATTTTCCTTTCCCCCAACAAGCCAGGAAACAATCCAGGTAAATGCTGTGGAAACCATTGGGCGCAATCTCAACAGCAGACCAAACAACAACACAACAAAGAATGGGAAGAAACAGACCTTTAGGCCGCTGGCACAAAGGCAGAAAATTTCGACTGGAAAGCTGGTTCCCGAGCAATAAAATTAGACTAAAAGACAACACAAGCCGGAACAAACGCAAGCACAAACCCGGGCACAATTGCAAGAGCAATGCCATAAATTGCAATGAATTGCGCAACAGCCAAAGCTCTGGACACGACAGGGCAGGCCACCAAGACCAGGACGCAACTCTACAGGATCTAGACATTTGGGACAGTGATTTTTTGGTAGGAAATCAATATGCAAAGGGGTGAGAAGCAAAACCGCGCCTACGCTTTCAACAGCAGGACCAGCACCAGAGATCGTCATCAGCTCCTGGCAAGAGCCACATTCTCAGTAAAAAGATAGAGCGACCCAGCTTCCAACTACAGCCGCACATTGCCTAATTGCCTCCCTGTACAAGTGCATGTCAAGTGCCTCCTGTGGCTGGGGTGAAGATCCAGGAGCACCTGTCTGCACTGGCTGCACTTGGGAGGAACAAGGGGGAAAGCGGCAGTGCATTCGATGTAGGAGGCCCAGCGGGGCAGTTCACCAAACCCATGCTTCACCAAGCCTCCACGAGCCCAGCCGAGCCACTTTTCCGCGACGCCTTATGATGCAGCTGTCAGCTGTCTTGCAGAAAGAAAGCCAGCAAACAATCACCGAAACTAGATATTTAGATCATGGGCACACGCGGCTTGAACTCACCCCATGGATCAAATGGATCAGTGCTGAAAATGACAAAATGACCAAATTGCTCGGTCGCTTCCTGCCCATTTTTGGCCAAATCCATCCAGCATGCTGCAAACAAGGAACCATCCAAGGAGGATTCAAGATCAGTGGCCGAGGACTCGCCTTTGGGATCGTCCAACTCAGAAAGAAATTTGTACCTCAAACGAGAAGAATCAAGGATTTTGAACCAGTAGCATTTCGCATGTGCCCAACACGCCCAACAGTATGGAGAGCTGCACCCACAAGACTGTGGCCAACAAACTAATAGCGTAAAATCACCACCTACTCTGTACGGAGTCCAATCGAACTGGTGGGGCACCCTTTGCTGAGCAAATCCATGGCAACAGGTACTGATCTGATGGTCAGTGCTTGCCTTTAGCTCATATTTACAGCATCGGTTCTGGATTTGTTTACAGTCTCATTAATTGGCTTTAGAGTTTGCAAGCCAGCATGCCGATTCATGTTATTAGTGGTCCAAGACTGCTCGAAAGAAAACATTCAAGTTTTGGACCAAAACCTGGCAAGACAGCTAATTACATGTAATTACATTATGGGCAGGAAACCCTGTGAGGAACGACATAATCCTTTTCTGCAGACCCGTATACAATATAACCGTATATATGTGTATGTTGGCAGATGTACCTGCCCCATGACATTGCGCGATGTAGCGTCCGTTAGATAGATAGGTAGATTGATTGATCGATCGGTTGGTCGAGTCATTGATTGATAAAGTTGATAAAGAACTATGGATGTATGCCTGTATGCTTGCAGTTTCCGAAACCATTTCAGAAGTGCTATGTACGCAAAGTGAGCTGAGCCATATGGCTTCCACGCAGCGTGGCTTTTACAGCGGGCTCCGTGTTCACAGAAAGGCAAAGAAAGTAATCGTGATGCCTCTCCAAAGCAGCAGCTGGAGCTTCTCAGCTTCTCGTCTTGGCAAAAGCAGCCTCCTTTTCCAATCCCCGCTTCAGCCTTGTCGCAGTGTGCAGGTCAGCCAAGTGGAAGCTGGTGGGGGTGCTCGGCAAAGCCGAGCTGCCTTCTCAGGAGTCTCAAATGTCTCAAACCTCGACGTACTTCGAGGTTGCTTCATTCGCTTCAATCTGCTTCAGTCTGCTTCTTGCTTCTTCTCGCTCCCTCTTCCCTTCATGGTGCTTTCCCAGGTATGTTGCCACGTTTGACATGGCTCTCGCTGGATGTCGGCTGCCTTCCCTCTTTACGGTGCTGACATCTTTCGCCAGACTGGTCACAGATGTGGAGCACACCTTCTGGCCTCGATTCAAAAGCTGCTTGCCTCTGCTCGGCAATCAGAAAAGAAGCCACTGAGCGCATGGCTATTGGTGCTGAATCCTCAGAAGCAAGAGACCGTTCGTTCTATCGCCACAAATGATTCTAAATGAATACTGAGTGACTGAATGATACTGACTGTATACTTAAACTGTGCTAAACTGGCTTACATCAAGACAAGCACAGGTGCATGGCTGAAATGCTCGTGGCAGCTGAGGTGTTCACGTTCAAAATCATCTTGGGCGACACACCCCAACGATCGCTTTGATTCACGTCTGCACCTGAGATTGCGAAAATGATACGTCTGGGTGTTTAGAATCTTGATCATTCTTGTTATTCCTGAAATTGTCGTCCCAGCACTGCAGGGGTCTGCAGCTATTGTGCCAAGTACTAGTAGCATTTTGTTTCGTCCATCAGACCCACAGACGTGTCACAACATGTCTTGATTATGTTTTAATTATTTTGTTTTTTGTTATCGTTTCGTCTCTTTTCTTGGATTGCAACGTGAATAGTGTCCTGTGTCTACACTCCTCTTCACCGGGTTTGAGTGTACACGGGGGTTGCAGCCCAATCACAAGCACAAACTGACGGACAAGTTACGATGTCTCAAGAGCAACTTCACTAGATCAGAGTGTTTTCGCCTTAGCACAGCAGCTCACATACGTCAAAACAACTAATGCGCTCTACATCGAGCCGTTCCGCTAAAGACACGAGAGTGACAGGAAGACGTGAGTCTCCTTTTAAAAATTTAAAGGTGATAGGCGATAGGTAGCGCAGTCAAAACCAGAGGGGTTTGCAAATTTAAAGACCAGCTGCCACGCAGCCCACCACAAAGGAGATCGTAAGTCTTCATCAGGAATGCTCACCTTGTTCTCACTTGGATGCAAGGCTCAACCAAAGAATCAAAAGTGTGACGACATGCGAAGACTGCCACTACAAGATGCTCACTACATGCCAGGACTGCAACTTAAAAGGCTCCATGTCTAGATTTCAGCAATCCTGGGCAGATTGGGCACGATCTATGTCTGTTCATTGCTTATTTTTTTGTGAAGGAAGCAGTCCTCAACGGAATCAAGACTCCATATGTCAAACTGTTTGCTTCCTAGGACAGATCAGTAGGGCCAAAAGAACTTCAAAAGAAGAACAGAAACATAACGAAATCTGTACTGTGCGCGTTTTTTCTTTGTAGTTTCTTGCAAGCTACAGTTCAATCAGACTAAAGTCAGTCCAGTGTAGCCTAATCCCTTTGGAAGTTCCCCAAACAGTGTGTCCACACTGAGGGGTTCTTGCCGCAGGAGTTAAGGCCGGGGTTAGATCATGGTGCGCGCTCGCTCTGGTCCCCGGCATTTTTCTGCAAACTCTCGCGTGAAGAAGGGGGTTTCACGATCCCGGTTTTTTCCCCGAGAATTCTCGCGTAAAATTGCTCTTGTGACATCTCCACGTGCAATTCGACTGCGCAGGCTTGCGCAAAACGATTGTCCTGGTCCTGGGGCCTGGGGCACGGACGGCATTTTCCCAAAGTTGCTCTTGTGAGATGTCCATGTGCCCTGCGCATTTGGACTGCGCAGGCTCGCACAAAGTGTTGGCCGCGGGGTTGTCCCGGTCTTGGCGCACGGCACTTTTCCAGTAAATTCTCGCGTAACATTGCTGTTGTGAGATGTCCATGTGCATTTCGGCTGTGCAGGCTCGCACAAAACTGTTGTCCCGGTTCTGGCCTGCGGCCACAGGTCCAGAACAGAAAATCTTGCGGGGGTCCTGGTGAGATCCTCCCCAAAGAGGTCCTTGCATGGAGATCTTGCAGATCCCATGTCATAGAGGTGCTTGTATGAAAGCTCTTGTGGGAGCCCTTTGGGAGCTTCTTGTATCAAGATCTTGTAAGATCGGCTCCAGCAGCAGCAGATGAAGATCTTCGTCAATGTCTTTTACAAGTCCTTGTGAGATGGTCTTGTGGAGATCCTAGTGGAATGGTGTCAGAGGCCTTTGCATGATCTCGTACAGGTCCTTGTGAGGAGATCTTGTGGAGATCCTGTTGAAATCCTCCTCAAGAGGTCCTTGCATCAAGATCTTGAAGATGCTCTGCTTTGGTGCTTGTATGAAAGTTTTTCTGGGATGCTCATAGGCAGGTCTTGTATGAAGATCTTGTGAGATCCTATATATATATACATATATATATACATATATATATATATATACATATATATATATGTATATAATTATATATATATACATATATATATACATATATATATATACATATATATATACAGATATCTATAATTACATATATATATATATACCTATATAGAAGGTCCTACTCTGCAGTTGCGATACTGTCTAACCTACTGTTCCATAGCTACTGTTGCTTGTATCTGGTACATTGGCTTCCTACCCCCCACACTGTTTGGGGCCTCTTGCCGGTGTAATTTCTTAAGCGTGGTTTCGTTCTTAGGTTCTATGACAAGGAATGTAGTTGATCTCTCTCAACTGCTACTGGCTTTCTTCAAATTGCGGATTGCTAAAAATATCTTTGATAGATATTTGACTAAGGTTTCGATGACGTTTGCATCAAGCAAGAGTCAATGCAGTGCATCACATGCGTTGCAAACAAAACGCAAGGGCTTCATAGGATTATTTCTACGATTGGATCAAGTAAGGAGTCGAAAGCGATTCCATACTGCAGAGCGCCTGGCCTAGCATGGCCTAGCATGGCCTAGCATGGTGCAGCATGGTGCAGCATGTCATGTTGGAGTTGCCAAGAAGATCCAAGAAGCTCTAGCTCCAAAAGCCAGCAAAACTTTGCAGGTCTGCAGATGACCCTCCTCGCAGAGAGCAGGCCGCTGATCTCATGAACTTTCCAGGCGGGCCAAGCAAGTTCACTTGACTTGACTAGCCGTGACTAGCCATCAAAACAGCCAGCGACTTCAACAGATCAAGGAATGCATCGCCACAAGTCTTCGGTTGACCATAATCTCATCTGGCCAGCAAAGCAAAAAAGCGTTGCATCACCAGAAAAAGAAACACCTATCCTCCGCTGCCAAACACAAAGGCGTCCATGCCTCAAAGAACCCAGAAGCCAGAAGCTGCTGCAAGAACACATCAGATGATGTTCGGGGAACCCATTTGCTGAATGCCACTGAATATTGCCAAATATATGTCCGTAGTAGATATACATGATGTAGAATATGTATCTGTATATGTATATGGTAGCTATGAAATCATACATGTACAGATGATTGTACATGTGTGTATCCAATAGAGATGTGTACAACTGAGCCCAGTTCATCATCATCCGCATCATCGACGCACGCACCGGACTTGATGAGCAACTTGCATGCCTTGTAAGGTCAAAGCCAAAGCACCTATATATCTTCTGCACTTTCCACACGCGGTTTGAATCTCTTTGAGGTTGCAGTGCCACTGTGGCACTGTGGTGTGGCTTCGCTTGGCAAGTCACATCTGACCAAGATATACAAAACTGTCCATCCAGCCTCCGCATGGCCCTGATCAGCTGCCCAGTGGAGAGCAGTGCATTCGTTCCTTGTGGAGTTCTCTACAAAAGTGGATGCATCCTACACAACACTGAGAAAAGTTTTCCTTGCATCCATGGGCATGGATTCCTAACTAACAAATTTGCGCGTCTGCCTTCGCTTTGTTCTTGTCTAGAGCGTTCCATTCGGACCAGAAATTACACACACACATCCATACACACCTCTTGGTCTACAACTACAACGTCCAAATAAAATGTGAATAAAAAGTCTGGCTGGCTGTATTCGTCGCAGTAGCAGTGACAGGCCAATTTTTGCACAAAGTGGGAGATGTGACTATGCAAGGCTTCAACAGGCTCACAACAGGCTTCAACAGGTTTGCTTCAATGGTATCAAACGAGTGTCTCGTCCGTAGTCCGGACATCTGCTGAAGCCTGGCAGCCACATGCCAAAACAACCCACAGGCCCATGATCCAACGCTGTTGGCCGCACCAATCCAAGTCATCCAAGTCATTCAATTGGTCCAATCATGTCTAATTCATCTTCAAGAGAAAGGGATCGCTTTCAATAAATCAATAAAATTCAATAAACAACAAAATGTATCAAAATGTCTTCATTCCACACTCCACCCGGACTCCACATGGCCTTCAGAAGGCACCGCAGCACGTGCACTTGTCCAGACCCTGCCGCCGCCAGCAAAGCGGAGCCGGCTGCACTGCCTTTGCTGCCTTTGCCACCCGGTGGACCCGGTGGACCCGGTGGACCCGGATTCTCTGCAACTTTCAGGCGTCCATCCCTAAGGATCGCAGTAAGCAGCCATCGCACCCATGGTTCCCCACCTGCCTGGCGCACGCATCAAACGCATCAAAAGCTTCAAAGAGTGGTTACATATGGTTACATGAGATACGAAAAGTTGCCGTGTGACAAACGGGGCGGGCACATGGTTGCTTAGTGGCACAAAATCACCATGGCTCTTTCGCAGTATCATTCTAAGCGAAGCGTTGTGTTGCAAGCATTTGCAAAATGTGCCGTATCTCCTTTTGCAACTGTTCGATTTAATTGCGAGTGCCGGACTGGTCTAGGATGTGTGAAGAAGGCTCCGAATCTCACAGGGCTTCAAACTTCAAACCATCCATGTCACGACATGTTGGGTCCTTGGCAAACCAGCAAAGGATCTTGCAGAAAAGGCCTGCACCCCGCAGAATGTAGCGTGCATTTGCGCAACCAATTGTGCCATTCTTTTCCAATATCACAAAGACTTCACCCATGCACAAGATCAAGTCACCTAATGTCTCTGCTAGCAATCAATGGACCGACTGAATTGCTCCTTTTGCATCTGCCAGATTCAGTCAGATTCAGGGGAATGGGTTGATGGGATGGGTTGATTGCGACGAGCCTTCGTTGTCCTCGACCTTGGGATGAATCATAATCGCTGACTGTCGACTCCAAAAGTCTAGCAACAAGTTTATAAATCAGGTTGCTCAACATGCTCAACTTGCTCTAATCGGATTCAGCTTCGATTCAGATTTCGAAAGAAATGCACAACTCGCAGCATGGAAGGGGACATTGCCTCGAGAGGTGTTTCAAGGGTGTAAATGCGAGCTACAAAGTTACGCTTGCAGAATCGAGAAGTCTCGCTGTCTTGCTTTAGCAAACAGTTGGAATTGTAACCTTGGGCGATTGCCTGGTCACCAGTCTTGGCGAAGAGCCGGAGAGACTCCACAGAAGAAACACCTGGGCAAGCGCCCATGGAAGTGCACACCGTTAGCATGAGAAGCGATCCTCGCTTCCAGTTGCATGAACTGCTCTCTTCCTTTGTCCAGTGGTGAAAACAACCTGTGTTCCTGGCAAATACGTTTCTGCCTTGGTTGTAATAGCTGATTCCAGTCACGAGGTCGTAAAACAGGCCAGCTTGTCAACGTTCACAACACATGGATTTCTTCTCTTTGCTGATTTGATCCAGCAAACTAGACTACACCACCTTCAATGGCACTGAGGGATTTCTTGCATCAAAAGATCTTGTTTGCCCTGCTTGACATGTTTCGCACAAAATTGGCTTTGGTGCTGATGGGCTTGCCAGGGCAGATAGCTGTCTCTAAGAATACAAAATTGATTCAAACATGCCAATCTAAGCTGATTCTGCCAGGAAACGCCCACGGCAGACTGGTGATACTCAGGGCCAAATGTGGCACTTGCAAACCAGTTTCAGGATGTACACCATCCCAAGATGGCAAAGCCTGTCGAATTCAGAGGAGTTTGAATCACAATTGGGAAAGGGAGCTTCACAAATGGATTGTATACAGTGTTGAAGCAATGTGAAGAACAAAAACCCAAAACGGCTTATTGTTCGAAAGGCTAGCTTTGCGGGTTGTGCATACCAAATCATCCATCAAATGTAACGAAGGGTTCTGGGTGGTCACGGGATATCGTAGGGTCCTTGCTATCTCATTGGTATTTTGCACTTCAGGCTTAGTGCACAAATCAAGGCCTTCTCGGCTGGTGTGTTGTATGATTTGTTCAATGTGTTCAATGTGTTCAACGTGTTCAATGTTCAAACAAGCACGGGCAGCAGGGGACATAAAATGTTTAAATATCACCGGATCAGCAGTGCTAAATTTCAAGGTAGCCTGGGTTGGTGCTGCGCCAGCTGGAGCATCTTAGGAGAGTCTGGGAGAGAGCACCCTGAAATATCAACTTGATATCCTTGAGATAGGGTGCCCGGACTACCAGAACAAAAACAAGCTATTTGGATCAAATGTTTACTCTATTCTACATGCTGTAACGTCACTGTAGCTGGTGGGTCTTGCATAGAAAGATATTGTCTCTTCACTCACTTCAGTCAAACAATCCAAAACCGTGGGTTTTTAATTGTTGATGATATGATATGCAATTTGCAAAATTCTACTTCTTGTAGTCCAGAAATTTGCTGGAATCCACTTGAACGGCTCATTGCGCGCGTCCTTCTTGAGCATCAAAAAAGACAATTGACACAGTTCGAAAACATGAAGAACAAAAGCACCTCCAGTGAGCGACAGGCTGAACGCACAGGTAGATCCTCCGGTGCCTTCAGGCAACCACAATAGAGGCAGCAGAACATTTGCGAATGAAACTGATGCAAGGAAACGCCCAAGGCCACTTAATTGATCTGTATATGCCAAAAAATAGGCAAGTCTCCGTGGCTTTCCATTTTTGCAAGAGCATCTTTGATGAAACTACGAGTAGCAGGAAAAACTTGAAGAATGCTGCTTGCATTGAGCCATCCATGCAGCAAGGGAAGTCTTGGCGGAGCCTTTCCATGAAATACCATCACATCATGATCGTCATCTCGTTAAAAATTGCCGCCCCCTCTTGACAATATGTTGACTGGGGTAACAACATCAACTTTATCTCCATGAGGGAACAAAAATCGCCACCCGCTCTGAACAATATGTTGATCGGGGTAATAACATCAACTTTATCTTCATATCCACCAGAAGTCAGACGCGGCGCAACGTCAGGGTTGTAGCGAACATGTTTTCATTTGTGGGAGGTACGGCTGTGTCTGTATCGAAGATCAATATGACCAAGCTTCCCAGGAAAGTGGAAATGCTTGCTGGAGAAGCAAACAGCAAGCACCAAAAAGCATAGCACGCAAGGGCATGCAAACAGATCAAACACGCCTAAACAGTTTCCACAGGTAAGCTGGGCCAAAAAACTTGTTGTTGGTACATCTCCCTCCCAGGCCTCCAAATAGTCCCACAAGCGAAGAGACAAACAATCCCAAATGTTCTCTCTGGGAACTCGCTCCATGATGAGATGCAAGTAATGCCAGCGACGAGAAGAGGAAGGAAAAAAAAAGTCAAATTGTCGGTGTCTCCTCAATGTCTCCTGAGTGTATACTGTCTGCTTGGAGATGTTCTAGGAACCAGGGCAAAACCGAAAAGCTCAGCTGTTTGTTCGAGATCACACATCGGCTGCGCAGTCGAATTTTCATCGGCTTGAGGTGATCTGCAGGTTCTGGAAAGGTACCGAAATTACTTGGAGCTGTTTACCTTCACAATGCACCTTTTGCGAGTCAGCAGCTCTAAGTCTGCCCTACTAGCTCATATCCAAGCGAGACCGCTGCCCACTTTCCTCACAAACTTCTGCCTCTGTATAGAACTGGTGCAAATGTAATCAGGTTGAATGGCGTTGCAAAAACACACAGAATTTGAGAGAGGGCACAGTCTCAGCTTAAAATTTGGAAAGATGAGACAGTAGCTCTGCTGCTGTACGTGGACAATTTTCTGTGAGTTCAATACGTTCAACACAATGCAATCCCAAAATAGAAGTGGCCGTAGTTTTGGGTATGGCAAAGTCTGATTGACTTGTACATTGGATGTTTGCGAAAGGATTTCTGATTTCTGCCGCTCGTGCCCTGCAAATGGACAGGCATCAGTCATCCTTCTCCTTCCTTATTTGCGCAGCTGAAAAAGGGCCATGGAGAATCAACATTCTCAAAAGTAGAATAAACAACAACCCTCCCACGCATTCTTTGTCATTTTCAACTATCGTGCAATGGCAGGCCCTCGCCACCAAAGTGGCTCATTGTTCTCAAGTATCTGAACATCCCCACAAGACAAAGACACACAGGGTATAAGAGAAGCTGACACAGTGTTCAAGGGCTGAAAAAAAGACCAGCTTCGTCTTGCACCAGAATACGATTGCTCCAACAATCGCAACCTTGGCTGAGGCGACTAGGGCCTAAGGGCCTAAGGGGAAGGAACACCATGGGACAGCTGTCCAAGGTCTTGCCAAGAGCCTTGCCAAGTAAATATATCAGCAATACTTTACATGCCATTTGTGTTGTTTGTATGTGTGTGTTGTCTGTGTGTGTGTGTGTTTTCTGTGTGTTGTCTGTGTGTGTGGGCTGGAAGACTATGTATCGCATCGAAAGAAGAATAAAAACGATCAGATTGAAAACAAATCGAAACTAAGCAAAAAATACAAATTCTTCATGCTAACAAACCATTGAAAATGAGTCACTTTCTATTTTTTTGGTTCCTCTATTTCAGTATGTGTCTCTGTGTATGTGTGTCTGTGTGTGTGCGTGTCGGTGCGCACTCCTGTATTCCCATGAAATCTATACCCGATGAGTTGTCAGTTGAATGGAATTTCCTCGCATCACTACATCACTTCAAAAATGAAGGTGGCCAAAAAAAACACACACAAACACCAAAGTACACACAATGCATGATGTTTTACATGCCTGCACCTAGGTCTCTGTCGATGGGCGGCATTCCATCTCGCTGCAATTTACTGCATTATACATCATAATGCCATCATATAACTGTATGTGACTGAGAAGGCATAGAGATGTTTTCATGGCAACGGTCTAAACTGTTTGGTTTATTGAGCATCCGGACTGTGACACCCCACTTCAAAGGTGTATCAAATCGCAAAGCATCCCAAGCGGTGATAAGATGAACATCCTGCAGTCCCAGCCAAATCCAAGACTCTTGTTCGCAGTGGTGTGATACACCAAGACAATGATTTCCAGCCCATTGCGAACTTATTTCCCATATTTCGCTTTGGCCTTCCATTCGTACCAGTTGGGAACAAAACACACAAAACCAATTATAAAGTCCTTTTCACCCTGTTGCCGAGCTAGGCATGGCACATTTAGCTTGTTTGTATCTTATTCCGACAATAAACATGAACCCAGAAGCAAGTGGCATACTGCTGCATACTCCACTCCCGCGTATCAATATCGGAGGAGGTTGCGAGCAAACACCAAACTAAAGTGAAAAGTGCCCTTGAAGGACGGGGAATTAGCGTCTGGGTGACAAGACACACAACAAATCGTCGATGGTTTGTTTGGTTACTCAATTGAGGTCTGGGAAATTCCCATGAAGGCCTTGTTTTGATGTAAGACGACATGGGTGGTTTTTTGGCTTGGCCACCTTGCCATGATGCAGAATTGATAATGAAAACCAGTGCATTTCGAATCGAAAAAAGAAAAGCTGAGACTTCAGAACAGGTACGTGGATTCTGCGTCCAGACTCTATATCAGTGACTTGTAACCGCCTCTTCGTTGGACTGCCACTATTACAAGTCAGGCAGTCTCCCCTGTTTTGAAAATTGAAGACGAATACAAGCCCTTAGAAATAGGGATTGACTCTCACACACAAAAAAGTAAAACATATAAAAGTTTGTGTAAGGTCTGGCGTGTGGGTACTTCCTCAGAAGAATTGCTGCAATTTTCATCTTCCAGAAGAACATTGGCTTTGCCTGTAAATCTATCATGAGAAGTCTCATGTTGAACGCGGTGTTACATTTGTGTGTATATGGCATTAGGGTCGATTGCTATTGCAAAAGAAAATAATTTGACTATACATATATATATATATGTATATTATATAACTATATATATAATTATATATATATACACACTACATATCATCATGGAGCCTTGGTCGTCAAGTGTTGTGTTGGGGTGGCGGGTGTGTTGGGGTGGCGAGCGCAGAACTCGGCTATCTGCGAGCACATATATCATATCAATCCTCTGAATCATGGCCACACAAAAGGTTTCGCCGCATTTTAGCATATGTAGCAAGCACAGCATTTCTGCAGTTTTGCTTTGTTGGAGCTAGACTTCGGAAGCACACTGATGGACGACCAAAGCAAATTGGCTATTCTTCCGAAGGCTGCCCCATACTGCAGCACAACGATCAGGGAAAAATGAGCACCATCGAAGGATGGTCTGGAAAAGCATCTTCCATGAAAAACAATAAACATCATGCAGAAAAATGGAGCTGCACAAAGCGAAAGACAGCAGCACCACACCTCGAATTATGCATGTTTGAAGAGCACTAGTTCGCAGAGAATGTCAGCCGGCGAGGGCAATCGGAATGCAGGTGCAAAGCGTGCAGAATGGGTTGTGTTGCCAAAGGTCAAACAACAAATGCTTTCTGATTGCCATGCCAGTTTTGACTCCTGGATAAACATTGCAAAGCACCAGTGGACAAACAGCTGCTGTGCTATCAGTGCAAGAAATTGATGCACGGAAAGGAAAAAGGTTGCGAACAAATACAAACAACATTATGAAATTATGAAACTGAATAAAACTGTCAAATGCTTGGTGCTCAAAAGCCTCAGAGCATGCCTTCAACTCACGGGTGACAGGGACCCCAAACATTGATAGAAAAGAACCCATGAGCGCTGCAGTCTGTGGATCCAGATTCCAGATCCATTTCCATCGACCCCAGCTAGCAGGGGGTGCGCATCAGAGAAGCACTCCGCTCGTCCTTCAGGGCCCTGCACCCCGTCCG